AGGTCATGGCCATACAGCACCCCCTACGTCAACTTTCTTTGGTGTCAAGTGTCACTCGCGTCATTAGATTGATGCTGAGACAGGGAACACATTGGTCCTAACGAGAGTTTGCCGCTTGATGAGGTTCTCTTGCACCATTCATGGTAGAATATGAAAAGAGTAGGAGGGAAATGGATAAAAGAAGCATCGTAAATTATACATGGGGCTGATAATGGAGACGTGATTGAAAACTGAATGAAGGGGATCAGGTTTGTCATCTGCACCGTACAGGTAAGAATATGAACTTTGGAACGGAGAGATATATTTGTTTTTGAGCTGTGATAAATTACAACTAAATATATGACTTGTACACTCTGCCTTAAAGACAAATACTGCATATCAAATACAGAGCCCAAATCACAAGATGTGCTGTGCCTCTGCTCATTAGTCCACTGTGACCCTGAGCCAAGCCGCCTCATTAAAGACATCTGCAAATCCCCCCTTGTATTCTGAGTAGAGGTCACTCCTTTATGCTGCTATAAAAAATAATAATACCCAGGGATTTATTGTATGTTGTTAAACATTTTTTAAAGAGACAACTCACCAAGGACCCTCAGCTGTGTGATCTGTAAAGGTTACAAATCTAAATCAAGGTAACATTAAGCATCCTAGATTGGACACAGTGATGATCCATCTTTTGCTAGTTCAGCACATAAATACACATGCATTTATTGAGGACTTAGTGGTATTCAGCAGAGACGTGACTAACTGTAGATAAGTATATTCTTTCAGTTTGTGGGTAACTGTGAAGTTGTCATCTCAGGATGGCCAGTCTCACCCTGAGCCCTCCTCTCCGTCATGAGAAGTGAGTCATGTCTGTGAAGCACTATTATTATCGTCTGCCGGGGGTGAGAATTAAAGATAGGCTGCAGTGAAGGCTCATTTAAGGGGGGTTCAAAGGAAAGAAGCAGGGGGGAAAAGTACATCCCCACTTAGCATTTCTGGTTTAAATTGTGTGAAAGGGAAACTGAAACTGCCCCTCAGATATGACAGTATCTAGCGTAACAGCTGTAAGTATAGACATGTTGGTTGTATACGTTCATTCTAATTATTTAAGGTGGTTTTTTAGATAGAATTGTCCTCCACCAGAAGTCAATGCAATGTATTTGTTTTGAGGCAGACTGGAGAGGCTTTGACGCGAGGATTGAATAACGGGTTTTTTTTTTACATATATTCAGAATCTAGCCTAATTTTACTGTTCTACAAAAGGCAGCTGCCCTAGCTTTAATAATACTGCAATTACAAATTATAATTTCTTAATTGACAACCATTCATTTGATAATTTTTTTTTTTTTTTAAGTTGAAGACCCTCTGAATTCAAGTGTGCCCATACCAACACACTTGCATAGGGTGTTAATAAGGTACATTTCATAAGATACAATTCTAAAACAGGTAACAACTTGGAAAGACTGTTTCTTACTCATTCCTCGATGCATACACGTTATATATAACCCTTATGTCGCGTTCACACCAAAAAGAGCACTTAATCTCGGGAACTTTTACCCCCATTTTTAGTGCCTGCTGAGAGATGGTACTTTCCTGGGGGAAAAAAGTGCCCCAGTTCTGATTGGCTGGGCGAATTGCAAACCACGCCCCGTACAACTCTGAAATGTTTTGTAGAGCTGCCATTTTATTATCCTGGCATTAGCATTATTAGCATTAGCATTCGCCCAGTGCACAAACGCAGAGAGACTAATTTATGGCAACACAAAATAAAACATGGGAGCGGTGGAGATGAGGAGGTGTCGGCGTTCTGGCGATTTACTCGGAAGACTTCAGTAGAAACTGCTGGGAGTCCCAGCAGCTTCTACTGAAGCCAGTCCCCAACTCCGGGGACTTCGGGTGGCAGTATACGCCGTGAAGTTGTTTGCGGCGTGCCAGTAAACCCAAAACAGAAGAAGACGAAGTGACATCAGCAGCTCATTTGCGTAATCTTCCCTCAGGGAAAAGTACTCCGGTGTGAACGCGATCTGTACTAAATGCCCTGGGGTAATAAGTGCCGGGGCACTGAGTGCCGGCACTAAATACGGCAAAGTACTTGGTGTGAACGCGCCTATTCTGGAAACAGCATAACTAACATATTATTAACTTGGTTCTCCTTCAGATATTTAGATTCTAAGGTTCCTAGACCTCCCTGAGACTTCAGCTGTGACCTCTATCATAATTGTTAAAATGTTTGTAGAGAGTAGAAAGATTGATACTGCTCTGTTGTGTTTGAGTTAAATATAAAGCTGAGTAGACAGTTAGCTTAGCACAAGACAGGAAACTGCTAGCCTGACTTTGTTAATAAAGTCCAACATCTGTAAAGTTTACTGATGAACAGGTAACATCTAATTAGTTTGGTAACACCAGTGTAAAACTGACAAATGTTTGGGATGGTTATTAAGAATCTGTTTCTTCCATTTGCGCTCCGTTTTTTTAGGAGTTTTTCACTGATTGGGAGTGTCTAAGGAAAGAGGTTGTTTTATTCTGTACGTACCCCTGACCCCCTGAGACTAATGCGTTTTTTGTGAGATTGGGCTAACATTTGTTTTAATTCAAGTTGCGCAATTTCTTCAAATCGCATGCCTCTGTGATCTATTCCTCCAACTGATGGTTTTAATTGTAATTTGTGATGGCCTAATGATGTACCAATATTGGCCCGCAGTAAAATGTTCAAGTTTGCTCGAGAATGGAGCCATGGGCTGCGTCTCAGGTCGACTATTTTCATTTCCTCGGTCGTCGGTATCACCGGAAGTTGATTTGTCTGCGCCATCTTGAGTAGCGTCCCATGGCTCTTATTTCTGCCGGAGGACCGAGGATCGAGGAGCGATAATGGAGGAGCGATAACCGAGGAACCACCAGACCATCCTCCGATGAAATCCTCAGATACTCGCTCCGCCCCCTTACGGTGTATCGCTCACTGATTGGACGATGCAGCGCATGCACTGATCTGATGCTTCTTGACATGAGAGCAGTTTCCCAGCGGAGTGAAGAAAATACATGAAACTCACGAGAGTCACTCCTCAGTCTCTATACTGTGTTTTGTTTCAATTAATGTATCATTTAGTTACAAATATGTGATATATCTGAACAACAAAGTGGTCAAAAATCATTTAATTCATTTATACAAACGACGCAAGTGAGGGACGCAAGGATTCCATTTAATCGACCTGAGATGCAGCCATGGTTTAGCAAGAGGCTCAAAAGCCAGGTGCTAATGAACCTACTCAGTTTCCACCCAACAATGCATCAGGAATCCATAAGGGACTTGATAAACAATCGGATGGATAATAGAATTGGTATTAATAAAATCTTATCAATAACCAAGTCCTACATATTGGGGTTAATAGGAGATTATGTGCAGGACTGTTCTGCGGGTTGCCTGGCAACACCAAGACTCCAGTAATGCAGCAAAACCCCAAAGCTGTCCTGCACATAACCACCAAACAACTCCCTGTAGTCAAAATCTGTGTGACTGAATTCCTCTGGACACCTTGTAAAATATTCACGCTGCCTTAAAAAGCATCAGAGCATGAGAGCCGTTAGCACTCTGAAATACATCACTGTCACTCTTTGATAATGTTTTGTTTTACTGATTTGTCTGGACAGATGCTTGACATTACTGGAAGAAAAAGGTCTCGTTATCCCCAAGCAAGAAAGATTTAATCATACCAAAAACCTTGTTGAAGATGACAGATGGCATTAATAAATAACCACTGCTAGATTTAGGAAGTTAACCATGAAAACAAGCCAAGGAAGCAACATGCCCATAGATACTGTTTGATGTGATAACAAAGCTATTTAGAGTAGCCAGCTAACTTAAACTGCATGAGGGGAGAAACCAGAGGAAACCCACACACCCACAGAAAACCAATGGTTCTTAAACATATGTTTTGCTGTTGCTGAACAAATAACCTTTACTTTGACTCTGTTAGCTCACAGTGAATCAACTCCTGCCCTGGTGAAATTATATTATACACAATATTTCAAAGATACACATCACATACCAGATATGTCAAACTTGATTTCCCAACAGCTCTTTGAAGCATTCTCTCACATGTTCAGCCAACCAAAAACAACTAGCCACCCCACAGCATTTATCCTGATCCTGTGCTGTATTACCATCTCATTTGCACACTGACCCTCATCCATATCCAACCAGCTCTCACGCTTTGAGTTTTTGGTTTTCAATATACTTGTCTGCTGTCAGTTTAGTTGTGTGAACATTTAAACAAGAGACAAATCTAGACCAAGAGATGGTGAAAAACAAAGACAGTTGAATCAGATAAGAGGGCAAGTGTGAATGTGAGTGTGTGTGTTTGCTACTTGTGTGTGTACATGGTAAAAAGTAGAAGGGGTGGTGGGGGGGGGGGGGGGGGGGAGGGGTTTCCTGAGCTCCAAGCTCCACAATCTATTTAATGAAAAACTGAATATTTGCCTATTGTCCACAAACAAACACAATGTTTACTGTATTTCTTTCTTGTATTAGAAATGATCCACTGGTTTTGATAATTCCAAATAAGCTTCCTGGGCAAAATGCCAGCTCAAAGCCCTGAGGAGCTGTGCAGCATGTTGACATGATGGTATCTGACTTCTCTCCAAGTAAATGGACACTTGTGTCGGCTAACTACTAACACAATTAATTACAGGATGTGTTTCAGTAGGAAGATTTAATTGTTCTCTTCCCTGTGCTGATCTGCAAAGGCTTCTGCCTTGGCTATTTGGGGGAACTGCAGGTGGTTGGTGCCCCTTGGGATTAGTTTTTTGCCCCTACAGATGAATGTTTCCCTTTTATTTATATTTGCTCTTCAGCATTACATGAAGGCTTGGCAGATCGTTTCATGTTAACTTAATGTTAACCAAGTGGTCCCCAGGTGGATTTGCTGGATTTCAATCAACAACTGTGCAGATGTGCAGCAGCAATGATTCATTTAATTGACTTGGTATTGCCCGAGGAGCAACCGCAAGCTGTGACCTACCTAATAAAAGCAGTTTCACTTCTCGGGCTGCCTTCTCTCCGTCCTCTCGGAGGTTTTTGTCGATCATCTTTGACCTCTCCGCGGCAGCCTTATCCTCGGCGCTCACAGTACAACCCATGGCTCCAAACGCAGGGGCGCACCGACCACTTGCGGAAAAAAAGGATTCAATGTTGACGGTCTTAGCGTGCCAGCCGATGCCAAGAATAACAATGAAGCAGCTCCTGCGTCCAGCACTGCCTGCTAGAGAGGAACTCAGCCGATTCCAGAGTGTTTACCCTGGCTTAAAAAGTCAGTGTACCTGCTCTCCTGTGCAAGTGTGAGCTCAAAGATGAGGCAGATGCACCCAAATCATTTGGTTTCTTAAAACCAGTCCAGGTCCATATCGAAACGCTCACAGCCCTCTGTCCTGCCACCGTTCACAGACTGAGATGCCTGTGCTTGCTTCTCCGGTGCTGCACACGGTCTCAGCTGTCTTGTCGGCCTGGTGGGCAGCACGAATGCGGCAGTGCCTTTGGTTGTTATCCTCAGATATGTAATTTACTCATGCCTCATTGACGATTACAAGTTGTCGACCAGTCGCACCGACGTCACTTGGACAACTCGCGATAGCCCAATTAAAACAGGTGAGCTCTCCCAAAGACGTGAGCAGCCGGCGTGGAACCAATTAGAGCGCAGGCTAGTGAGGCGTGCGTTCAGCAGTGCCGTGTGCAGACTGCAGTGGGCGCTGCGCCAGTCCTCTGCAGCTCACATGGACGAAGCCTCTCAGACAACATGATGCTAATGCTATACAGCTAACTTTGAACGAAATGTGCAGTAGCAGGATTTTCTTTCGTTAGGATGCAGGAAGGGATATTAAAATGGCTATCGGGCTTATTTTATAAATACAATACCAGATTCTCATGCTGACAGAAGAGTTGGTTAATAGCGCCCCCAAATGGACATTAGTAGATATCTTTCTCTGGACGTTGCTTGGCCATATACTCTGTGAATAAGGGTATACAATAATAGACATAAGAGGCATTTTAGCTTAATTTGTAAAGGCTTATGAGCTTTAAATGTAATATTCTTATCTGACAACCCTGGTTATATAGGCTACTAGGTGAATGTGTGAAATTCAAAATGTTTTATTGCTAATTCACCTTTCTATACTACACTAAGTGTTGCTCTCCCACTTTTCTGAGACTCTTTTAGGTGTCTTCCGGTAAATGGTTAATGGACTGCATTTACGACCCCTAAAAGCTCTTTTACAAAAGTCAGCATTCACTCATTCATAAAGAGGCAGAGGCTGCCATACAAGGTGCCGTCTGCTCAGGGTTGACTAACATTCACATACATTTACACACTGTTGGCCATGCCAAGAGCAACTTGGGGTTAAGTGAGTTAGATTTCCCAGGGATACAATGATATGTTGACTGCAGGGGCTGGGATCAAACCTTCTGATTGGTAGATGACCACACACTACCCCAGCCATAGTCGTAGTTGTTGGTAAACAAGTTATTGAGTGTAGCAGAACATATAGAAATGAATGCCTTAGGTGTCAGAAATACACAAACATAGTGTTTGTCTGCTGTTTTTCCCATATCAAATATTAAATAAGTATTGTCTATGTCTTATAGCAAAAACTTGCTGAATGTTGACATAACAAGGTCAGCAGTGAGGGATCATGACAACCTAAAGTTTGGGTCTAATGTTTTTTTTACGTCAACATAGCTTATCCTCGACAGATATAAGAACACTTTCCAAACAATTTCTTAAATCATGTACATAAATACGTTTATTTGGGATGAATTTAGTATACTCCTACATTGTCGATCATAAATTATCGGGTACAAACCATTAGCAACACACCAAAAACCTGTACGGCGGATATGTTACATGTCTTAAACCCATTCCCCTATAATGTGTGCTGCTAAAACAAATATTGGTTTTAGTGAAGGGGAAATGATGACAACAGAGACAATGTAAAAACATCTACAATTATTTTATTGCCAAACTAAAGCAGTCCCTGCTATTTACACTTTATAAGCTACTGTAAATATGCATCACAATATAAAAGGTTTACATTTATATACATTATTTATATAAAGCCGCGTTTATTCACCAAAATTCATATATCTAATTATCATTTTATCATAGTGTCATTTCCAAAAATATATGTCTGAAACAACAGCTATAATAAAATATCACATTGTTGTTTTTTTTGGTTAATGAAGAATGCATATTTGAAATACTGCATGTGGTATTGAAACAGTGATATCTGTTTGAAAGTTAAAGGCATTTCAATGCAGTAGGTAGTCAGTTGTTATTTTGGCATGATCACTAAAAGTGAAGAACAAATTCACTCAACATGACAAAAACTAAACCTTCAATAACCCCACAACAACCACAGCAAACACTTGTGAAAAAACAAGGGACGGAGTTTGGTGTGTGCATATTTCCTCGGCTGTGGTAAATAATTTATCTGTAAAAAAGAAAACTGCAAATATGATATTCATAAATATAATGAAAGAAGTGATGACTTGCATAGGACTTTTCTGAAGCCTTAGAATTGTGATAAAATATAAGATCTTTGGGGAAAGAGCAGCACATTTTTCTTTTTCTTAGGCTTAAACCTTTTCTTCTGTTATTAAACACATTTGTGGTTTCTATGTAAAACCAAATCTCCTGTAATCTGTAAAAAGTAAATTTATATGCAAGTTGTAGTTCTATTGTGAGAAGCAACATTCACCTAAAGTATCCATCCACATCCATACAATTAAACTTACAATTAAGTGTAAAAACTGACAAGAACATTAATGTTTAAAACATTGTTTCATGTAAAACGTTTAAAAAGGGCTTCATAATACTAATATAACAATTTAACAACTGGATCACAGGATTTCACCTCAATACACTTGACTTTAAGATGCCAAATGTACAGAATCACAATAACATCTAAGCATGACAGTGTCAGAATGAACATCCCTGTGTTCACTAAACCAACTACAAGACGGACTGGACTTAACAACACGCAAAACATTAACCGCAAGTCTAAACAGTTAACAAGCGTGAAAGCAGATCAATATACTAAAAACCAGTAAGGCAACAAAGTTACGAAGGAATCACAGAAGCATAATACATCTTCAAATTAATAAAAATTAACTTGTTAAATTATTGCAGTCCCACCAGTGGGTTCATCTTTACAAATCCATTTTGTGTGGCCAGGAATTGTTAAGAACCCATTTAGCTTGGTTGGGTTAACCTAAATTATCTTTAAAAAATATGACCCTAAATGACCCTTAGTTGTGTGTTTCATTTGCATACGTTATGTGATATGTGCATTGCTTTAGTGCCCGCATACTGCTGTCCTTAGTCAAAAACCTGCTCTGTATTACTGGATGTTTCACTAGAGGTAAGTGACTCCCGGATTTTAAGTCTTTGATAGTGAGCTTTAGAGGTGCTGCCAGGCTTTTGACCCCAGGACAGAGCCAGGCTGTTTCCCCCCTTGTTATTACCATCTCGTTGTATGTATCTGCTGCACACATAATGTAAGAGTGGTTTTAATTTTCCCATCTCTGCAACTCTCGAAGAAAGTGAATAAGGAAATATCCCCAATTATTCCTTCCATTTAACATTTCGATTTTGACTAGATGTGTCATTTAAGTTCAACGAATTGTTTAAACCTGAAGGTACATATTAAGATCTTTTATCATCATTTAATATGGTATAAAGTTTGGTTTGTGAATTTATAAAAACTGAATGAGACTTTTAAAGGGGGAACAAACATGTTAAGGGGGTAATGAACTGTTAGGTTAAAACTAGCTGTAGCTGTACTGAGTTTATATTTAAGGTCAAAGTTCGGCATGTGTGTTAAAAGTTCTATGAAGGAGGTATAACCCTAAGAGCAAGCTCTTTGCATTTTATCAAACATTTAAAATATCTTCAGTCGTAAATATTTCCATCATTTATATACTGTAAGCTCAAACAAAAAAAAACTATATTGTGATATATTTGGATTATTGTCTTTATCATATACAGTAGTTAAATATAGTCTATTTGAAATTAAAAAACAAAGATATAGTAGCTAAATAAATATATACTCCTGTTGTTGCTCTGTGTTTGTGTGCTGTTCCAAATGCTAAAAGGCACCAGGGTTTCTGAAGGGAGTTGATCTGGAACAAGAGCTTTGTGTGACACACTATGTAACAACTCGACAGACCATATAATGAAGTGTCACTGCACTCTAAAGCCTTAAAGCACTTTTGTTTTTGTTTTATAGTGATAAATAGTTCAGAGTGCAGCTGGTTCAGGTGAGATCATCTGATTCTATTGTATTTTTGTGCGTCTCAATGAAAATAATGAATATCTGTGTATAGTTATTTCTCATGCATGTTCTGAAGCCTTCCTGTCTTCAACCTTACAGACAAGCATTCCTTCTTTTTCTATACAGTACCAGCTGCAGTTGTTTGTGTGTAAATAAAGAGGAAATTAAAGTCGCAATAACAGATGGTAATAAAAATATACCCTGTATAGTCCTGATTATTTATCAAATGTGCATCACAATTGCACTAAATTGAATTATACAACATCATTAAGCAAGGATTTTGTTCAGATATGTGTTAAGTTACAGTCAAAAAGTGAATTTAACTTGAGCAGTGTGATTCCAACCAACACACTGTTAGTGTGTTTCCACTAAGGTGACAGAGCTCCCTTTACATTGACCAGTTATGTTTCCCCCTGTCTGGAGCTCACACACTAAGGCAGCATCTAGTGGCCTCCAGCAGCGAGACCGCCCCCTGTGCTCCAGTCGATGATGATGAAGCTCAGACTCATCACCATGAAGATGACCCCCAAAGCAGCAAAACAGGCAGCCTGAGAGGTTGAGAAAAGGAGCACAGACAGTCACACAGACAGTGATTGTCAAGAAAAAAGCCTATATCACACAGGATAATCACCAAATTAGCTTAACGAATCAATAAAGAGAGGAATGACTTCAAGGCCTCACCAGTATTTTAGGAGCAGAATTCATGGGTTCATCTTCTTTGGGAACGATGCGGATGTAAAAGACAGCAGGGAAGATGAAAATGAGGCATGGAGCCGACGTGGCACCTGTAAGGAGACAGAGAGAAAGGGCTGGTTAGGCACAGAGCATACAGCACTGCACCGACAAGAAGATGAAACATAGCCTATGTACTGTAAATCTAATCCTTTTCAGTTTTCTAATGACGTTTTTAAAGGTGCAGTCTATTTTTGACATTATGTTTACTGTCATGTATAGTATATAACTTGCAACAGAAACGTTCTGACAGTGGTAACAGTTAGCCAAAGTACATCTCAAGCTCAATCATGAACATATCAGGACAGATTACAAACATTTGTCTAGACTAACCTCACATTTAAGGATATTTATTTTTTGAATTGGAATGATAAGATGCCTGATGTGATCATAATCTGACAGTTTACATAATTGTTCAGCTGTTAAGTAAAAAATAACACAGATATTAACTGAAATTGTGAACCCTAACAATTTACAAAACAGATCCATATATTGTATCATCTGTATGCACATGTTTATCAAAGCAGAACCAGTGGCTTTCACATTGCCCTTGGCAGTCCTTTGACATAATTGTTTTCAACTTTGACTTCTAACCTGTAAAACATGAAGACACTGAGTGACAATAATATTGACTCAGGTCGTCA